AGGCCCAATGTCCAGCTGCTACCTTAATATTAAACCTATAAATATATGCACATAGATCTATTTCCCCATCCTCATATATAAATATATTTACATATGTATATGCTTTTATTTAGACCTCTATAAATGTTCTTTGCCTCCTAGTTCTTTCCTCTATTTCCTTTTACTTTCCTCTTGTCCCACTATCATGCTCAGCCTTCATTAGGATTTCAGTAGTTCCTTTCAGTTACATTACCCTTGATCACACCCTACCAGGCCTCCTACACCCTCCTCATCACCAATTTGAATCACTAGTTATTCCCTTGTCCCTGGGTTTGTTAACACCACTTCCTTTCCCCCTACCGCCCCCTCTCCTATGTCCCCACTGAACCGTTGATTTTGTAGTTTTCTCCTCCAGATTGTTCATCCAGCCTATCAAATTTAGACAGACCTGCGGAGATGATAACACGCACAAAAACAAGATAGAGCAAAACAAAGCAACAAAAGAAAACAAAACAACAAAAAGCCAATGACAACAATAACAACAACAACAAAGAAAAGTCTATAGTTAGTTCAAGGGCAGTTTGTTGGCCTTTAGGAGTGTTTTCCTGTTGAGTCTGATGGGGTGCCAAGCCCTGGCCCCAAAGTCTATTTTTGGTATTCCCTGGGGACTCCCTTGCTCTGCTCCCCTTGCTGTTCTATTGCATATCCTTAGTGTTTCGCCTCAGTGTGGTGGGGTCAGATCGGGCACAATTCCTGCACTTTGTCTCCAGTGTTGTCCCCTGTAGCACTATGGGTCAGTGAGGGATGTCATGTCTTGTGGTGGGGCTGGCCCTATTGTGCATTGACTGCTCTGAGCAGGAATAATGTCCTTGGGGCTTGCTGGGCCAGGATGTGCTTCACTCTCTCTTCCTCCCCCTTCTTTTCTGCCCATGTGCTCTGACCAGACATGTCCTCTCCCTGAACTATAGCTTCAGTGCTGTCCTCAGAAGTGAATTCTTCTGAGGGGACGGGAGACTGTCCACGTAGTTGGGACTGGGGCCGGCCCCTCAGACCTCTCTGTTGCTTCCCTACTTCATGCCAGTATGTTGCATTTGTTTTGCTCTGTCTTGTTTTTGTGCATATTATTATTTCTGCATGTTTATCTAGGTAAAATAGGTGGGATAAACAATCTGGAGGAGAAAACAATGGGACCGATGGTTCTGGGGGGACATGGGAGAGGGGGAG